CTGCGGACACGCGGCCTTCGGGCTTTGGAAACTGGAATACGTTGAATTACATTTGCTGTAGACACGCACACATGAAATTGCAGGGTTCCTTGCTCATTGTGTGCACGAGAGTTCTTCGGTACTTCAGAACTTTAGTTTTGCAAATTCAGCTCCCAGTCTGAGAGGCAAACTGCAGTCTGCTTTATGCAGTGCCAGAAAAAAAAAAAAAGAATGATTTTTTTTCAAACTGAATTGTTCCTCCATTATAAGATATGTTACTCCATAGTCTTTAATTTCTGTAGCTTGATGTTCTCTTTACAAAAGAGCTCAGTGAAGTCTGAGGGGAAGGGTTATAGCCCCAACACCATTTATTATTTCACATATGCCCATCTGAAATGAGCTTATGAGGAGTACGTATGCTTTATCCATGTGCTGTCTGCAAATAGCACTACATCCATTGCTTGTGATACCTCACCTGTAGGGAGCTGCTCGCATATACTGCATTTAGGTGAAAGGAGTAATTCCGAGTAATACATAGACACAGGCTCACTTGCTTGAGAACATGACCTGAACTTCAAGGCTCGAATTACCAGAGGAATTTCTCCTCCAGGTGCCTCAGTTTCCCTGGACAACACAGTCCTTTGTGCGCACACCTGAGTTGTCTCTTCATTTCCCCTAGGTTCATTTTAACACGCTTCTCTCATTGCCCAGACTTAGTGAGAAAGGAAGAGTCCTCAGAGCAGGGAGGCCTCCATAGCCCTGGTTCTTGCTCCCTCCTTTTTGCTTCTTCATGTGGCAGTTCATTCTCTGGCTTCTGTATGTCCCAGAGGTACAGTTCTAATAGCTGTACATTACCTTACTAGCCTCATAGTTTCTTCTTAAATAAAATTCAATTTAATATTTTTACAACATGAGGATGAGAAACAAAAAATGTTTGTGACTGAATAATCATTTATGATGCAGCATTAAAAATACAGCCTTTGTCTTCAACAACACCGACCCTGCATGGATTTACATATATAATGACAGCACCAGGTAAATAACTCAGGGATTCAAAGACAAAATTTATCCTTTAAAATCACTGCCTAGGTTAATACAAGAAAAGTCCCTGACATAGCTCAGGAACTATGAAGCAAGATTATACTAATCTATGAATTCAGTGGTTCTTTCAAGGTCTGTCAGATAGGATGCAGATGATAGTTTTTTTTCAGTTACTGCTCTTAGTATAACTCACCAATGTTTTGGCAAAGCCTGCATTTCCATTAGGTGTTTTGTACGAGACTTGATTATACCAACTACAGGACAATGAACAATAATTTCCAACAAACTTAGCCATATAAAGCAGTTTTTGCAGAGCTCTGCAGTGCAATTTATATATAAATATGTAAGCACATAGATTATTTTGTTGGGCATGCGTAGCCCCTCTATTTTGATTGCTTGTACTCTCACGTGTGATTTTCCTCATGTTCACATTGACACTTCCAGTCCTGTTTTGGATACACTGCGTGGAGATCACAATTCTCAGCACTGACTTCTTATTCCTAATGCCAGCTGAAGGGTTCAGTACTGCCCTCCGAGGCGGCTCCAAGGAGCTTTATCAGAACACGGGAACGTGGCTCCTCTGCCTCCAGGCTGTGGTTGGCTTGTGCCCACCAGAGCCCGGGGGAAACACCGGTGCATCTGCACACATCTAATTCTGCACCGTTCCGTACCCCGCTGTCCTGCTCCTGAGCCTGCTGACACTTGTGTTTCTGCCAGCAAATGCCGCAGGATCACGGCGTGTCCTTCCAGGCAGGTCCAGCACCAACTAAAGGCCGAGCAGCTGAGATCCTGGATTACATCTGATGGGATTTGCATGGTAGAGAGGTCTCCCTTGTCAGAGCCAACCCGGCGTCCACAGGGAGGCCCTTGCAGGAATAGCGTGGTGCTGCTCTCCTTGCTTTCCCCACCTGCAATTCAGTGTGTTTGTAGCAGAAGTACTCATGGTGCGGAGGAGGCAACTTAACATCTGTCTATGTTTTGCCTAAAATCCAAGTGCCAGCAAAATGGCATAGCTAGCAGCCTGAAAAACCATGGTACTAAATATCACATTATTTGATGACTGAAATGCTGACTAGAGCAGCTTTAAAGGAGGTACATTGCTGCCTCGGGGCACACCGCACTGCTGCGGGATGGTGCCCGGTTCATTCACCTGGGAACTGAGGAGTGTTCCTCCAATTCTTGCTCTGAATGACATTGCACCTTTAGTCTCCCACCACCTACTTGCATATTCTTAAATGGGAATTACTGCTAGTGTTTTCTGGCTTTTTATAAAACTTGTATTGATTCCATGGGAAAAGAATGGCTTGTTAATCAATTGTTAATTAAGCACCACCATGAGAATGTGGACACACAGATTTTGATTCCTATTTCAGGCAAAGCAGATCCACCTCTGCAGATGGAACTGAAGGAATCCTCTGCAGACGCTTGAGTACAGTTGTTAGAACCTGCTTATATTTCATTTTCTCTTAGGGGAGTAACCCTCCGATTCCATCCCTCAGACAGTGGGATTTGGGGGAACTCTGAGGAGCGTTGCTCCATCACTGCTAGTTTTCCTGCAACATGAGGAGGAATGGCAGTGAGCCCGGTGCAGGTAGCTGTGATCACGGGTGCCTAAGCCCCGAGGAGGACGCTCTGCACAGGGGCTTTCACAGATCCTCCTTGTTCCCAAGTGTCCCAGGGCGAATCCGCCCCGTGCCGGGGGCACCGTGCAGAGGGGTCTGACACTAAAGCAGATACTGACCCAAATCCAACCTCCAGATGGCCCAGTGCAAAGCCATGTAGGAAATGAATACAGCTCAACATGACGGCTGCAGAAGAACAGCTCAGTAAGCTGTAAAATAAAGATACCATGAAATAGACTGAAACTTGATTTATAATTAAGCATTTTACATGGGATGATGTAAAGTGGCCTTAGAAATAGAGAATCAGCCCTGTAATTGTAGCTTTAACACACACTGTCATGGTTACTTCAGAACATCCCACACTCTAACATGCTTAAGAGATTTCAAACAGGATTCTAATCTGAAGTTTGCGGAGTCTTTTTCTCCTTTTATAGAAAAGGGACTATTTATGGAAAAATAAGGACATGTATCTTAAAATATTTTTGATGGAGCATTTAGAGCATAAGTGATACAACTGATTGATGCCCGTAATAATTGGACACTTCAGTAATCCTCCCTCACCCATAACAGTTTCAAGCTTACATTTTGGATATTATTAATACTCAGACAGAAATAACTTATGGACAATATGAAAGTGCATAGTGGAGAATTACTCTATTTTTATAGAACTATTTAAAAATGATGGTTACTTTTTCTTGCTTGACTAAATACTAGCTAATTCTCTTGCCTTATTTTCTTTGCTGTGAAAATCTAAGTCCAAGTGATTTCATGGAAATTTAAAGGTTGATAGCAAGACCCCACTTAAGATGAACTTCTTCACATGATAAAAATTAGATTCCATTATATTACTTCAGTACTAGGGTTTTGTTGTTTCCTAATTTGCAAGAGAGTACGCAATGAATTTAGGAACAGAGAGAAATAAGGGGAAAAAAATAAAGAGACAGTTAAAATGCAGCTATGAAAAGAGTCTCTAAGTAGAAGTATCACACTTTTATTCTAGATAAACAAGAGGGCAGCTTAGAATAAACATGGATTTATCTCTTTAAAGAGTTTAAAGAAAGAGGCTAAACCAGGACACAAGGGTTGAACATTGCTGCATACAACACAGTAAACAGATTAAAATTTTATACCTGACCAAAAAAAGGGAATTTAACAGTTAACTACAGCATGCAGAATAACAGAATCACATGAACTTAGCATGCTGTTATTAAGTTACACTCATCCAGATGTTCTTGATTTTTACAAAGATTAAGGATGGGAAAAGCTGCAAGACAACATGAGTGTGTGACATAAACCCACCATAAGGAAAAACACATTACCATCTAGCTGCCTTTTCAGAGGATCAAAATTATCTCCTGTTCTATTGTTCAGGGAGAAACCAGCAACAGTTCAAAGCCTCTGGAGTTAATAACACATTAGACATTTAAGCAGGGCCTGAAAATTAAAACATTGGCAGTTCTGTCAGTTTATGAAGTGCTCATGGAAGACCTGAGCCTACATCCCCTGCATGCCCTCCAATGCCACTTTGAAGTGTTGTGTTTTCTGAGCTGTTGCAAATGCATCATGTAAGGTAGGATCTGCAGGGAATGAGTGATCAGGGCACAGACTTGGACTTTTTTTCATCAGCATAACTTGATAAGGAGTGATTTTGTGCTCAACTTCATTGGCCAAACCCCACATTTCAGTGTGGTTAGAAACTTTACATTGAATCTAGTTCTCCCCCCTTCCCCTCCCGAGCCCCTGCCGGAATCCATTTAGAATGCTCTGGTTTGAAGTATTTCAGTACAAGTCAAAAACAATAACATATTTCTCTTCCTAATTCCCTTTTCTTCGCAATGCATACTTGCGGCAGAGGAAGGGTCTGAAAAGTGGAGACTTGAACCAGTGTAGCCCATTGTCTCCAGATGAGCTTTGTTCTTCTGAGCGCCTTCTGCTCTCCGTGTTCTCCACAGGAAAGCTCTCCTGTTCTGTTCTTCTCCAAGCAATATCAAAGTTTCTTGCTTCCACCATCAGTGCTCCCATGCTACAACTCAGCTGTTTGTCTTCCTGTGGCAAAAATAGCAAACTCTGTCATCTGGACTTACCAAAAAGAGATGGGAGGGATGGGAGTGAGGGCATCCCTCCTATCATCTCACAGAGAGCCATGAACAAAGTCTCACCCTTCTGCTTCTTTGGAGTTATGTAGTTAAATATCGGTGATGCTAATCAACTCCCCTTCAATCATACTACCTGCCTTGACTTTACTGCTAGTTTTCTTTCACCATTTATGATTAAACCTATGCATTAAAAATGCATGGGTTAAAATAGACTTCTGTCTCTGTCCAGAACATAGTCATTTCTTCTCTCAAGTCAAGCATCTTAGACATTGGTAGGTTGGGAGAAAGAATCTCCATGGAAGCTACTCTTTTTTGCTTCTGGTTTTTTCCTAGCTTTCAAAGCAGGTGATACTTCAGGGTGGATGGAGTCCAAACGCTGCTCGCACTTGAAGGCCGTGAGGAAGGCCGTTCTGTAGTTGTTATTCATCCAGCCATAGAGGAGGGGGTTAGCAAAGGTGGAGCACATGGCAATGACATGGAACACTGTGAAGATCAGTTTGTACTCGTTCAGGTCCAGCACCTGACTGTCAATATCACTGACCAGCTGGAAGGTGTGAAAGGGCAGCCAGCTGACAGCAAACACCACAACCACACAAACCAACATCTTGGTGGTTTTCTGCCGCCGGTGGTGGTAGTGGTCGTTCCCTGCCCCAGGACTAACATGGTTCTTGAGTTTGGTCCAAATACGGATGTAGGCATAGGAGATAACTGCCAAAGGCAGCACGTACTGGATCAGAAGCATGGAGACACTGTAGATAGTGCTGGAGTTGAACTGCCCCTCCCCTGGCCACTTTTCAGAGCAGACCACAATCTTGAAGTCAGGAATGATCTCAATCAGCGAGTACTCGCGGAAGATGGCCAGAGGACTTGCTAACAGCGCGCTGACTGCCCAGGCTACTCCTATGATCAGGAAGCTGATCCTCTTGGAAATTTTGCTTTCCAAGTGGTAGACAATACATCGATGACGATCCAAAGCGATCACAGTCAAAGTGACGGTGGACACGTGCACAGCAAGAGCCTGGGCGTAAGGCACCAGGTGGCACAAGACTGGGCCCAGTTTCCATTCACCCAACAGCGTGTACACTAAGGTGAAGGGCAGGCACAGCGTATTCATCAGCAGATCAGCCACTGCCAGGTTGGCAATGAAGAAGTTAGTCACTGTGCGCATGCTCTTGAACTTGATGATCACGTGGATCACCAGGGAGTTCCCAATCACTCCCAGAAGGATGATGGAACAGTAAGCGAAGATGAGGATGATCTGCACTTCAACCAGCTTGGTGCTGTCCTTCAGTCCCGGTTTAGGGTCGAGAGCCAGCTCATTGAGGGGTGTGGTGAGCCTCGGCAAGTACAGCCCGGTGAACAGCTCCATTCTCACTTCATTTGTCTGATTTTCATCACCTATTGCTGCTAAGGGCCCCATCCTGGCAGCAGCCTGGTCTGATCAGCAGAGCCGTGGCTGAAAAACGAAACGTTACAAGAACACATGGAGAAATCGTCACAGAACATCGAAGGCACAAAGGAAGGGGCCAAAGCTAGAGCTCCTTCCTCCTCTAACCCACATCCTACACCTCAGGATTCGGAGATCTGTCTTCCTAATATATTAAATTTCATTGCCCTTACATTTGAAGCCCGATCCTGTAATGTGATTCAGGCATGACTCCTGATGAAAACTGGGACAGATTTCGAAAGGATTTCAAAGACAAAGTTTGGCTAAGTAAATGCTGAAGGATTAGGATCCTGCTGGGTAGAATATCCTTTTTTACAATCCAGTGCCTAAACTTATTGCTGATTTAGCACAAAACTTCTATTAATTCCGGTGGGAATTCTGTATGGCACCATCCAGACTATTAGCACAGTAATCCTCCAGTTTTTCTTAATGAAAAGTTACTAAATTCTTACAGGTTTAAGTCTACCCATCCCTAATGCTGAGGTCTTCCTTCAAGAAACTTTAAGCAAGTGCCACAAGGCAGTTCTCTGAAATAACTGTTGAATTAAATTACTCTGAAAATAATTCGTGGAACAATTAAAATTTAGTCATAAATAGTACTTCTTTTTTGTACAATGTTTGGGAAAAAAAAAAAGGTTATTCACGGAAGCTGCTGATCAGAGGTTAATTTCTGACTGCAGTCACAGCGAAGGGCAAATCATTCTCCTGAGATCAGCGAGACTGTCACCACTGGCATGACGATCCCGCAGTGCTGCCGGGCTCCCTGCACAAGCCACGCAGGACTCCGGCCGGCCTGGGCAGCTGTACGGATGCTCTACAGTTAATTCCTGGCCTGGACTTCAGTCCTACACAGAGTGCTGACCACGTCCCTGTGGACGGCTAAGGGGGAGCGCGCTGCTCCCGCTGCCCGCCCCTTGTGCCGGGAATGCACTGATGGAAAACGTCAGGGCACAGGGGGTTCCCCGGGAAGACACCGCTGTCTGGCGCTGCGGGGCAGGCCAAAACCGAGCTATTAGCTCCGCGTGTCCTTGGACACCCTCCTTAAGGCAGGCAAGACTAGAGAAGAACTATCATTTTCTTGCCCTTAGGCCGTACACATGGCTTAGCTGACCTCAGGCAGGTCTGCCTGAAGAACAGCCTACCTGTGTCTTCACATGGCTTTTTTAAAAAAACAAAACAAGCAAATAAAAATCCACACCAGATTCACTTCGCTGTAGTTTTCATCCCTTATCACTGAAGAAGATCGACCCCGATTACGAGACACAGCCTCAATGTGAGTTTCCCATCCGCAACAACAGCCCTTCCATACAGTGTACCTCGCGCACGTGGTGCGCACGCGCCCCCAACCGCTCCCCGTTGGCTGCAGCCCACGTTCGTGTTCGCTGTCATTGGCTGCCGTGGGGTCTCCGTGCCCTGGAGCACAACAGGCTCCTCCCAACCCGCGGGTGCCGGGGCGCCCGGCTCGCTCCTCTGGGCAGCCCAGGTCCCGCTGGCGACCGGCTCAAGGACAGGTCAAGGGCAGGTGCCACCTGCAGGCCTGGGCTGTGCGGGCGCTCGGGAGAGCACGGCCCCGGCTCGCTAACCGTTCCCCCACGTATCACCATGGACAAATACCCACGACATCGGTTCCCTCACGTGCATTCGTGACTGGCTACTACGTTAAGATGAGCCGCGAGTTGCCTCCCAGAGGGTGTCCGAGCTGCAGCCCACGCAACGTTCCAGAGAACCTTTCCACACCAGGCCATTTCCTCACAAGCAAGAGATCGACTGCATGAACCGAAAGGGGATTTTCCCCCAGCTAAAATTCTGTTGTGCAGAATTTGGTTTACTTTTACTGCACATTTATCACTATAAGCCTAAAACGCTCTACACTGTGACACATGCAACAAGAGGGCTGTTGGCTGCTCACAGGCGCGCATCCCCAGCCCTTCCTAATGCCGTCAGTCATCAGCAACTAGCCTAAGCAAGGGAACCCCTTCATACACCCGCAGTGCGTGTCAGGTTAGAAATGTCAGAGATCTGTAACGACTTGCATGGGCAAAGCTATGCAGAACTTGCAAGTACTTCTACATCTGTTTTTTCCTTCACCTGTGTACCTACAACCAAGGACTAGGCTTGTGTAAGGTTAGAGACTTGTGAGACCCCAGGACTATCTGCTGCTCCCCCTCATTTTTCCATTGTAAACCAGGAACAGGTCGTGTTTAAACATCAAGGTTTAAACATGAGTGAGAGAGAAGGGAAATTTCACAAGTTTTATCTTCTTTGCTGTGAATATAGGGAGGATGACAGAGCTCAGAAAAATCATGTAGCATCCATTTCTTTCTGAAAATATTTTCGCCAGTTCCCCTAGTCCCCCCATGTTCTCCTGATTCCTACCGCCAACCCCTTATTTAGCAAAGGCTCCTTTTATCCTGCCAGTTTTGTTCTGTGTGTTGCTGCCCTGTTTGTGCTGTCGGGAGGTGTTTGGGTCTTGTCAATAAGAGCTGCGGGAGGCAGGAGGGACAGCCAGGTTCAGAGCGCAAGCAGAGATGAGACGGTGCGAGGGTGGGAGCTGAGCTGAACGGGTCGAGTTCGGGCATTTCGAGCAGATGGAGGAGGAGGCTCGTTCGGAGTCGCGCGGGGCGCCGCGGGCAGCCCGGGCAGCTCCCTGCGCAGCTCCCTGCGCAGCTCCCTGCGCTCCCTCCCGCGCGGACTCCGGGTGCCGCCCGCGCCGCCCC